TTGAACCGCCAGCCGTCTGGTTAGCAGGCAACTGACTTAGCCACTATGCTACCAGAAGTAAAAAACGCAGAATATAAAACTGTATACATAGCATGATCACAAATATATCTAGATATATCCATAGAGCAAAGCCTGAGATAGGATTATAAAATTACAGAAAAGGAGAAAAAGTATTTTCCAAAACTGAATGTAATTATCTGGTAACAGCTAAGGGCCTATCTCAGACTATTGCAATGGAATATAAAACATTTTTCAGAAAAAATAAACATAAAGAAAACTCAGGTGATCTTAAAAAAGACCAGATTAACTGGACTGGCTGAGTCAATGGGAACCCCCAAGACTATCGCCCTGTAATACCCTTTGAATTTTGAACTGACCACTCCTGAAGGTCACGTTTCAGCTAAATAGCTGACTGGGTTCATGAAATAAACAATATCACCCATGAGTACTGTGATCGTTTAAAAAACATCATCTATGGGAGACTGAACAGTGAATAGCAAAGAGAAGTTGGGGTGGGGGAGTGGGGAGAACTAAATTAACAGAAATAGAAGAACCAGAACAAAAATGATGAGAATGTTGACACACTGTAGCCAATGTCACTGACCATTATGTATGTCGTTGTTGTTATGTGCTGTTGAGTCGGACCCAACTCATAGTGACCCGTACTTGGGTTTCCGAGGCAGTATCACTAGGAAGTAGATTGCCCCATTTTCCTTCCAAGGAGTGGCTGGTGGGTTTGAACCACCAGCCTTCTGGTTAGTAGTCAAGCCTTAGGCACTACGCTACCAGAGCTCCCACCACTAACGGGTTTTTTTTGTTTTTTGTTTTTTTTTAAGAGAATATTTTAGTTGTGTTTTTGGTGAAAGTTTGCAAACTTTATATAATGGTATAGAGATTGTTAAAAGGGAACCTAATTTGCTGTGCAAACTTTCACCAAAAACACAACCAAAATATTACCTTAAAAAAAAAGTGAGTATAAATTGATATGATTACTGGGAACATAATTTAGTAAAAATGGTAAGATCATTTAAAAGTTCATATATGGGGCAGTAATTCTACTCCTAGAAACATAACTGAAGTAATTAAATATATTGTCAGAGATTTTTAGTACTGGACTCTAAAGCACAATTATAAAAATAAAAAGTAAATAAATTATGGTACAATCATAAGATGAAACATTATACAACCATTAAAGATATCATATTTTAAGTAACATTAATGACACTGGAAACATTTATTCAATAAAGTAAAAGTGTAAAAATTCACATTACCAATTCACATTACTTACACATTACCAATTCTGTGTAAGTAATGAAAAATTGGTACTAAGACTAAAAGCGGTTTTTATTTTTTTACAATTATATGTATTATCTATTTTTTATCAGCCCATTACATTCATAATAAAACCTTCTATCGTAAAAGTGTTCATACCATGGAGATAGTATACTAAAGTGTTCTATGTACATCTTCTCATTTAATCCTCATAAGCACTCCTTTTGAGGCAAGAATTATCAGCTTTAGCAAGATAACTGAGACACAGAAATCTCAGTAAATAGTTTAAGGTCACACAGTTACTAATGCCACTTGAACTCCAAAGTCTGTGCTCCTCATTATTATGTTATATTACTTAAGAAGGAGCCCTGGTGGCACAATGGTAAAATGCTCAGCTGCTAGCCGAAAGGTTGGTGGCTGGAACCCAACACCACTCCCTGGGAGAAAGATGTGGTAGTCTGGTTCCATACAGATCACAGCCTTGGGAATCCTATGGCACAATTCCTCTCTGTTCTATAGGGTCGCTATGACTTGGAATTGAATCCGTGACAATAAGTATACTACTCAGGAAAGTAGGGAGGAAATGAAATGAATTGGAGACTAACTGAATATTGGGACTTAGATTGAGGGTAAAAAAATGCTGATAAAAGCTTTTACCTAGGGTACTGGGTAGGTGTCACAGGCCATGAAAGAGAATATAAAGAAACCAGATTTTATTTTGTTTATGAACTACCTGAAGTATACATATTTCTTTCAAAGCAAGCTAAGTTTGAAATTAGTCTCATTCTAAAAAGATACTTCTAAACCCACTGTTGGGGAGCTCTGGTAGCATAGTGGCTAAGGCACTTGACTGCTAACCAGAAGGCTGACGGTTCAAACCCACCAGCCACTCCTCGGAAAGAAGATGGGACAATCTACTTCCATAGTGATACTGCCTCGGAAACCCAAGGAGGGGTCGCTATGAGTCGGGTCCTACTCGACAGCACATAACAACAACAACAACAACAACAACAAACCCACTGTTACTGAGTCAACTCCAACTCCTAGTGATCCCCACTGGGTTTCCAAGGTGGTAAATCTGTACAGAAGACTGCCTCATCTTCCTTCTATGGAGGGGCTGGTGGGTTTGAACAGCAAACTTTCTGGTTAACAGTCAAAAAGCCTTAGGCACTGTGCCACCAGATCTCTTAAAAGAGAAATATAGCAGGTGTAATTATCAGGCCTACGTGGCATAGAAGAAACAGGTTTTGAGCAAAGAAATGAAATCACCTAGAAAGACTATCTTAAACTGTGGTTCTCAAACTTCAGCAAGCATCAGAATCTTTGAAAGACTTACTAAAACACAGATCCCTGGGCCTAGTCTCTAAAATTTCTAATTTAGTAGGTTTGAGGTAGGGCCAAGAATTTCTAACAAGTTCCCAGTTGACACTTATGCTGCTGGTCTAGGGGTACCACTGAGAACCAACAGTCTAATGAAGTGGTTATTAACTTTGGTTACCAACTGAGAATCACCTGGGAGTTGGAACATAAAATAATTCTTATGAAAAAAATCAAAATCTTTGGGAACCTAAGATTAGTATGTTTAAAGCTTCTCAATGATTTCAAAGTACAGCCACCAAGAACCACTGATCTAAAGGGAATAAAGAAAAGTGACTAAAGAAAGAATTGTGATTCATTTTAGGGGCAATCTACTACTACCTCGGAAATCCAAAGAGGGGTTGCTATGAGTTAGACTTGACAGGAGTGAGCTTGGTTTTTTTTTTTTAGGGACTCCAATCTTCATGTCTAAGAAGTCAGCACCCCCTTTTTGGCATTTTATGCTAAGGTTTCTCCCAAAATAAAGGATTAAAAAGAGGAATTCATTTTCCAAATCATTCTCTACTTAATGATACTTAGGCTTTGTATTTCCAGAGACTGGTCAATGCTTACCTCCCTCTATTATCTAGCACTTTGTTAAATATATACTCAACAATACATTTTTTTTTATGATAATGATGAACTTATTCCTATTTTTTTCTCTTATATAAAATGAATGTATTTTACCAGAAAAATGGGAAGGTACTTAAAACTAAAGGATCTTAATCAACCAGCTGAGTTCCTGGGTAGTGTTAACAGCTGGAGGTCCAGTCCACCCAGAGGTACCTTGCAAGAAAGGCCTGGAGATCTACTTCCACAAAACCAGTCACTGAAAACCCCATGGTGCAGTGCCACGATGACATACGGGATGGCCGTAAGGCGAAGTCAACTTGAAGACACCGGTTTAATAAAACACGTACCAGTATCTATTAAAACTTCAGGTAGACCCTGACTTACGATGGGGTTTCATTCTTAAGACTCTGCTAAGCTGATGCTGACTTAAGTCTAGTATCTCGTTTTTTTTCATTATTATTGCCTTTTATTATCATTATGTTTATAAATGTGGCAATGTTTTGAACAGTAAATCATAAAACTGAACATCTAGGTGTGAACACCTGTGAATAACATCAGGAAATTACGCGCTGCAACCTATCACTAACAAGAAGTACAAAAAGCAAAATGGATTGTTTTAAGCACAACTCATCGTAATGCAATTATGTCATAACGTGATTAGTCAGAGACTACCTGTATAGAAAATAATTCTGCCTAAATGCTGTGATTTTTTCCTCATAGGATCATATGGACTTTTCTTATGCTTGAGCTCAGGAAACATTTTATTTAAAAAAAACAAAATATAGTAAATGAAAATAAATTACCTAGAGTACACATATCTCCTGTATTAGGGTTTGTTAAAAAGGGCAGAAAGTCTTCCACATGGCTTTTCATATATTCAGCAGTCTGGCTTCTTAAGGCAGCCACAGTCAGAGAGCAATCCTTTTCCTTCAGCTGATCTTCAATGGCTCTATACATGCAGTGGCCATCAGATGGAATATGTTTAATTTCCAACTGCCTGGCTGCCAATATTTGAGCAAGTTTTTGACTTTCTATGTGTCTGGCTCCAGATAAGTTCTCAATTTCAGCTTCAGCTATCCTTTCTTCCCGTTCCTTTTCCAATGCAGCTTTCTTTTCCTAAGAAAAGATTAGAATGTAGGAAAAGTTAATTCAGATAATTAGTACTGATTCTTATTATAGCGATGGAGATGTAAGATTCTCAAACATTTTGGCTATTTTTTTCCCTTCTCCCACAACCACTACCATATTGATCATCTGAACACTTAAACCATTCTACACCGTGAACTCCTTTAAGGAAAAGCTATCTTATTCTTCTGTATGTTCCCAGCACCTAGCACTGTACTAAGACGCAAGAGAGGCCATAAATTTTTCTCTAAAATCTACTTAAAAATACATGCTAAGGGAAGGCAACACTGTTAGACAGGTGGAAATAAGTATTGATTTGGGTGAAGAGAAGGGCAATGTACCAAATATGAGTGATCAACATGGTGGCACTGAGGAAGAGGAACACATAGAGAGGTACACGGGAGGTACAGACAACAAAGATGAACCCTTTTGCACATACAGTACTGCAAGGTCAGTGAAGGCAAACATGGGTATACAGGTGGATAGATGGGTGGACAGGCTGAACTATTAGGTATGTCTATGCAGCGAGGAGTGTACCCAAGACTATGTATAGGGTTGGCAGACAATGGTTCTACAAGTATATTTGTATGTTCTGTAAGAATTCCCAGGTGTGTATAACATAATGCACAAAACATTGTTCCACCTCCTACTTTGGCGAATAGTGACTGGGATCTTAAAAGTTTGTAAGCTGCCATCTAGATGCAATGATGGGTCTCTCCTCGTCCAGAGCAAAGAATGAAGAAAACCAAAGATTCATGGAAAGAATCAGTCTTAGCGACTGGTACACCATGCGATCTGCAGCCTATACAACTATGAGACCAGAAGAACTAGATGATGCCCGGCTACCAATGTCAACAACTTGTAGGGGGATCTACGTAGGAGATCTTGGATAGAGAGGGAAAACAATGAGGAACAAAACTCAAAATAATTTGGGGGAAAAAAAAAAGAGGGACCAGGGTTGCTGGTCTGATAGAGCCTGTGGAACCACTGAGACTATAGCCCCTAGCTGCCCTTCAGGTCTGGAATTGAACCCAACCTGTGGTTTCCAGCCAAACAAAAGAGAGGCATAGGAGCTGAACATTTACCTGAGGCAGATACACTTCTTGGAGAGAACAATTATGAGAGAAAGAAGGGCTGCTTATGCACAGAGAGACAGCTCAGGGGGCAGGAGTACATGGAGGGATGGACACAGAGAAGAAGTAACTATCAGGAGGAAGTGCGAGGGGAGCTATTGCATTGGGGTAAATTGTAGTCAGTGTCTTGAGACAAAGTGTATGTGAACTGCTGTAAGGATAGTCAATTTGTTCGGTAAACTTTCACCCAGATCACAATTAAAAAAATTAATAAAATTTTACTCATGAAATTAAAAAAAAAATACATGCTAAGTTTTCAAAAACTTTACTCAAGTTATTGTCTTAAAACTGGGTTGTCCTAAGCCTTAAAACACATCATTACCACAATCAAGCCCAGGTTAATGGAAGCTTTATTTACTGCTCAACCTGTAGGTACTACTACGTGAAACCCTTTAGATGGGCAGAGACCGATCTCCTTCTACCTTGCTTAAAAGAAATGTGCGCGCGCGCGCGCACACACACATACACACACTTAATTAAACACATTATCCTTTATAAAACATTAAAGACAGGCTAAAGTTTCCCTTAAAGACCACTGCCAACTCTGATGCCTTTTCTAGAGGGCATTTTTGTGTGTATATCCTTCCAGATTTTTTTTCCTACACAGTCTCATAAATTAGATGTATTCACAGCAAACAAATTTAAAAAAAAAAAAAAATGGCCCCATATATTGCTTTCTGTAACTTGCTTTCCTTATTCAGATGTCTTAAAGAGCTCTTCCCATGGCAATATATGCAGTGATGGGCTGGGAAGAGGTCAAGGAGAGATCTGTGACATAAAGGAAGGATGTTGTTGTTAAGTGCCGCTGAGTCAATTCCAACTCACAGCAACCCTATAGGACAGAGCAGAACTGCCCCACAGGGTTTTCTAGGCTACTGCAGGAGCAGACAGCCAGGTCTTACTCCCACAGAGACCCTGGCTGAAGTCAAACTGAAAGGATGGATAGGAGGTAAGAAGACTGGAAAATAAAGGAGAAAAAATATCCTAATAATTGGACTAGCAACAATCAAACTCCAGAAAACATGGTGTACTTCATAGCTGAAAACAGTTCACATAAATAGAACACCAGAGGAAAGGGGCTAGAGATGAGCTTGGGGGCAAAGACAGGTATATAGTTAATATACATGAAGCCTAGGCATAAAAAATAAAAAGAAACTAGAAGAATATATGCAAAATATTTACAGCACTTTTCTCTACATGTAGGATTATGAGTCAATTTTACTTTATTTTTTTCTTTGTGCTTGTCTGCATCTTTCTAGTTTTCTACCCAGAGCATATTTCACTTGTATAGTCATAGGGAGAATTTTTCTTTTACGGGGGTTGGTTTTTTTAATGTGACACAATGAAACAGTTATACAAAATTCTATGTCTTGCTGTTGGTAGCAAATCACAGTGAAGGATCTGGTAAACCAAGAAAAAGGGCGGGAAAAGGTAAAGAGTTATCAAGTCCCTACCTCTCTGGCTCCTCCCTGGGGCAAGAAAAGTTAACGGGAAGGCAAGTTTCGATTAAATTTAAGGTTACATACTTATACTACAGGAGCTCTGGTAGCATAGTGCCTAAGGCATTTGACTGCTAACTAGAAAGCTGGTGGTTCAAACCCACCAGCCACTCCTCAGGAGGATTGGGCAATCTACTTCCATAGTGATACTGCCTCAGAAACCCAAGGAGGGGTCACTATGAGTCGGGGCCGACTAGACAGCACATAGCAACAACAACACTTACCCTACAGACCTTCTTACATGCCATACTACAGAATTGAAAATGGTTTCTCAGTTACCTGAATCAAAAGCAAAATACAATATAAGCCTATGTAATATCTTTCCTACCAATTCCAACCATACCAGAATTAACCTAAGTGCATGTGTTTCATGGCATACCTACAAATGGGGATCACAGAGGCCTAACATCTTAAAACACAAGATGGCACCATTACTTGATAAAGAAAATTTTCAGTGTTTAGAAACACTTTTTGAGGGAAGAGGGAAGATAAGCACCTTAGATATCATCTAATCCAAAACCCCTCATTTTCCTCTTCTGAGGAAACAGCAGGCAGAAAGATTTCCAAAGGTCATACAGCTGGTTAGAAGCAGAGCAGGGACCAAGGACAACACAGAGTTCCTTCTATCCAGGCACCTGAATCAGAATAAAAGTTGGGGCAGATGGGAGCTAGAGTTAATGATGTCATGTACTATTTACTGGAAGAGTGGAGCTTTATTCTATCTGAAAAACAATTTAATCTCTAAAATATTAATCCAATCATTTCAATATTTTCCTCGTGTTTTGCTTCAATATTATGAAGCAATTAAGTTTCTTCCCTAGGGCACTAGGTGGAAAATCCCTAACATTTTTTTTCCCAGGAAAATATAGATTTCCAATGGCACTAGACCAGTTTGACTTCTTCAACTACAGTACAACGCAACACACCACTGTCGAGCTGGATCTGACTCATAGCGTCCTCTCCTTGGGTTTCCGAGGTGGTATCACTACAGAAGTAAATCGCCCAACCTTCCTTCTAAGGAGAGGCTGGTGGGTTTGAACTGACAGCCTTCTGGTTAGTAGTCAATTGCTTTAGGCACTACGCCGCCACCAGTAGTGGAGACAAAATGGTACCAGTGAAGTCTAATGAAAATGTGTGCAAGATGAAAATAGCATGTAACAAATACATTGTCAGTAAAACTATAGTCATGATGCTAAAACAAAAAGAATTCTTAAGAAGAATCTTGAGCTGGGTACTAGTCCTGAATGCGTACACAGCTTTCCATATGCGATTGAGGCAATCTGGGATTTAGCTTTCTCATCTGCAAAATAATGAAACTGAACTAGATGTCATTCCAATTCTCAAAATTCCATTTTTGGAAACCAGCTGTTCCAAGTCCTACTTTGGGCTTTTTCCACTATACTAAAGAGCTTCCACTAAAGTTCTTTGAATTCCAATTCAATACTCTTATGCTTTACTAGATTAAAAATAAGAGATTTGCATGTAATATTGCACAATAAAAACATTGCTACAATAATTTCCATAGTTTTGTCATGTTTCTCAGAATTGTATCCCAAACATAAACACCTTTAGTTAGTTGCCTTTTATTTCTTGGTGCCTTTGACAAAAAAAAAGTTCCAAACAGTCTAATACTCAATTGTAAACTTTCTTCTGTTCTAGAATTTCTTTTAATATAACAAAGTAATAAACTTTGAGGATTATTTGCTAGGGTATTTTCTCTGCCCGGTGTTCAAGGAGCTGACTATGAAACATACTAAATTTCCTAAGGGTTTATCTGAAGGTATTATACAACATAAACAACACAACATACTGTATTTTATGAGAAAAATACCCAAATGTTTGAGAAATGTAGAGTGTTATTTCTTTTGTTGCCTAAGGTCCAAATAGGAATGAACAAGCTTTCAAAAAGACAGGAAGAAGTTGTGTCTTTGAGTATTGTCTAGAATTAAATAAGCTACTATAAAATGTGACATCACTGAGTTGATTCCTAATTAGATGCAGATCCAACAAGTTATTTCTAATAGAAACTAGATGAGAAATTGGAAGCTGTCACAAAAAGAATGTGTATCCTAAGGAGGGACTTGAACTAAATAACCTCCAAGGTAACTTGAAATCTAAATTCCACGATTCTGTGAAATTCACAATCATAATACTTATACAAGTACAGTGTACAACTAGGAGAAATGTTTGACTATTTACAACTTAATCAACTTTTTAACAACATAAAAAAGACATTGCTCTTAGCTTGCAATTTTTAACAGGCATACAATGTAGCACTTACCACAGTAAACAATACTTTCATTTGTTGACCCAGTAGTTCCTCAAGCTTCATGAGGGCTTTGGAAACAGTCTATTATTTAACAAGCACAACTGTATAAAGTTGTTATTGTTGTTTGCTGTCAAGTCGACCAACTCAGAGCGACCCCTCCTTGGGTTTCTGAGGCAGTATCACTACGCAAGTAGATTGCCCATCTTCCTTCCGAGGAGTGGCTGGTGGGTTTGAACCACCAGCCTTCTGGTTAGCAGTCAAGTGCCTTAGGCAATATGTCCCCAGTGCTCCCTCTAAATAATTATAGTTCCTTCAAATTCCAACCCATCGTTAACATTTAGTATAAAGCATAACTGTCTCTTCTCTGAATGTTAATGGTAATTAACCATCATATAGGTATCTATGCATTGCCATCAAGTCGGACCCGACTCATAGTGACTGCTCCTTGAGTTTCTGAGGCAGTATCGCTACGGAAGTAGATTGCCCAACCTTCCTTCCGAGGAATGGCTGGTGGGTTTGAACCGCCAGCCTTCTGGTTAGCAGACAAATGCCTTAGGCACTATACCACCAAAGCTCATGATTTCATTAAAAAATTTGTATGTCTGTGTATCTTGGTTTCCAACCCACTTTGACACTTGGGTTACACAAGTAAACAGAAACAATGTTCTGGAAATTCCAGGTTTAACTCCTTGTTCCACTACTTAATATCATGATTTCTTAACCATGATCGTGCACTGGATTCTTCTACACTATGACAATTCTAAATTTTAAGCCTGGGATAAAAACCAAAACAAACAAACCCAATGCCATCCTGACAACCCCTCATGTGTTACAGAGAACTAAGCTCCAGAGGGTTTTTTGGCTGTAGAAGCCTGGGCAAACAGATTTGTAAAAATTATCCTTTGAAAACCTCCTCTTCCCAGCCCAACCCTACATTAAGAACTGCAATCTGGATGTGTTACTTTATTGCCTTAGGCCTATTTTCTTATCTAAAAAATTGGGATAAGAGATCCTATTTCACAGAATTATTGCCAGAACTAAGTAAGAGTTCATGTAAGCAGCCCAGCAGAGGGTCTGGCACACAGCAGGTGCTAACAAAGACCAGCTCAGGTGCCTTACACTGTGAACTCCAGCAGCTTTTTATTCTCTTCCTATACAACCTACAACAGACTGAGCACAAATCACTAATTTAAGTACATGGTGACATGACACCTACAACAGACTGAGCACAAATCACTAATTTAAGTACATGGTGACATGACTTTCATACCCGTCTCTTTTGTGCTTTTGATATCCGAGGTTGCTGATTCTCAAGAACCAAGCTTGAAATGTTAACGGCAACAGAATCTATCTGAAGAAAACAAAAAAATATTACCAAGTTAATGAAAAATACTTTCAAATTAATATCAAAACTATTAGATCATTAAATTATTACAGAAAACAAATGTGTAATCCAAAATTTCAAATTTGAGTAACAACACTAGATAACATTCAAAATAGCACAGTTTTATACTTGTTCCCTATTTTTCAGAGATCATTTTCAGATTCCCAAGCAGCTTCCTGACTATCCTTCAAAGACATACACTCATGCTCTTCTTTCTTTGATCATGCTCGATCCTTCTAACTACTGTTTCGCCTATATATTTCCTCTAAGACATAGCAAAATTCGGTATTGACTTTGAGTAAGACAGCTCCCATTCTGAATTCTGACTTTGGCACTTACTAATTTTTCACATAACGTGCACGCACATATAATGTGCACAGAGTACACAAGAAACTAATGCACAAAGGGGGTGGTTACTGTGTAACCTGGACGTTATTTGCATGAAAATATGGTAATAATTTGACTTTGGGAAAAACATCTCAGTCTAGCTCTAAGCCTGTTCCCTCATTTGAAAAATGGGATTATCTACACTTAGCTCATAAAGAATACCTCATTTTGTATTACTAAACAGAACAAAACAAAAAAAACAAACTCAGCAACCCCACCTTGGGTTTCCAAGGCAGTCTGGTAGCATAGTGCCTAAGGTACTTGACTGCTAACCAGAAGGCTGGAGTTTCAAACCCACCAGCCAGCCCTCGCAAGAAAGATAGGGCAATCTACTTCCATAGTGATACTGCCTCCGAAACCCAAGGAGAGGTCCTATGAGTGGGTTCGACTGGAGGGCACATAACAACAACAACAAGAGGCAGTATCACTATGGAAGTAAATTGCCCAATCTTCCCTCTGGGGAATGGCTAGTGGGTTTGAATCGCCAGCATTCTGGTTAGCAGTCAAGTGCCTTAGGCACTATACCAAAACACATGCAACATGTTAAACTGCTGAGCACAAAATACTCACTCAGCACCACACCCTTCCCTTCCCTGAATATTGATAATGCTTAGAGGGTATATAAGATCCTGTGCTGGCTCACTCAATTCGTTACTACCTTTATAACCTTAAATGTAGCAACACCAGCCTTTCTCCACTCTACTCAGCCAGAACCTGATGAATACTGTTTCTTGATTCTGGGAAGGTGAGCTTTTCCTATCTTCTCCTCTCTACAAACTGATAATTACAGGTTAAAAATATATTTAATCTGTAATCTCATTAGAAATTAGAAATTACAACTTATCCTACTATGCAAACAGTTATTATATGTTTCTCAAGTAAGAAAACAGAAGAGGCCAGATTTATAACAATGTGGCATAAAAATTAGTAGCTAGTCCTCTATTACTACAACTAGTTATGTAAAGTTAAATTTGCTTTTTGTATGGCCCATATATAAAGCCTTTTAAGGCCTCTAACACAAGTCAGAAGCCTTCAAGGCTGTCCCCTAATCATCAAAATATGAAAATCAGATGGTGATTTCAAAGAGTAATAATCAAATCTACTGAAAATAGCATTCTTATGAATATTTAGAGGAATGTGCCAAAATTTACAAACCACCATACCGACAACAGGTGAAATAAACAGAGGTTCTTTAAAAAAAAAAAACCAGAAAGTAATGACATGAGTCTTCAGGTAGTGTTAAACACATTTAAGTTAAACACAGTTATCTTAATGGAAAAGAGCAGTTTAAAGTAGAAAAGGAGTCTCTGTTTTAACAATTATACAATATGTAGCTTAAGAATCAAGCATCTTTGTCCTTGGAAACCTATGGAAAAAATCTAAATTCAAAGGCTAGAGAGAGCAAAAACAACTATCTCTAACAGAAGAGATGGGAAAACAATTAGTAACATGATTGTGACAATGCAAACACCAAGGCTGGGATCTTTAAGATTGCCAAATAAAGTTTAAAACCAAACCCACTGTTGATTCCAACTCACAGCAACCCCCACTAGGTTTCCAAGGCTATAAATATATGAAAGCAGACTGCCTCATCTTCTTCTCAAGAGTGGCTGGTGGGTTCAAACCACCAACCTTTTGGTTAACAGCCAAATGCCTTCACCACTAGACAACTAGAGCCCCTTAGTTGTTTATTAGACTGGTTTTTCCCTTGTCAACAACTAACCAGACAAATCAAATTTAATTATAGTAGCTAAGATTTTGCATAACCCTAAGAACTTTCTACCTGTCAAAGGAGAGGTTTTAGTCTACAGTCCTTGGTATCCAAAACCCTTGTAATAAGCCACCACACCATACAAAGATATAGCTGAATTCAATAGTACTCATACCCTCAAGTAAGATAGCTCCAATTTTGATGTCTGATTTTGGTAGTTTATAGTTTGACTTTGGGATAAACTTCTTAATCTTTCTAAACCTTCTTACTCATTTGCAAAAACGGGATTATCTACACTTAACCGCCTCAAGAATATTTTATGTGAGGTATTAATAAGGATTAAATAAGACAAAACAGGCAACACGTTAAAGGTGCTAACACACAATATATATTAGCTATAAAGAGAAAATAAATCTTAGTTAAAATGATAAAAGTTAACATGCTCCAATTTACCCAAGAAACAAGATGAAAAAATTCACTCATTACAACTGTTTGTAAAGTGCTTTTATAATTAAAAAATAATTTTACGTTTGCTGTCCCATTTGATAGTTCCAAGAATCTGTGCATCAGTATCTGTATCACCACATGACTGTGGGAAAATCTGTCCTCGGGGAGATTAAACAACTTTGAAAAAACACACTACCACGTACACCTGGTCAAAAATATTCATAAAAGACAATGCCTGAGCATAATAGATTTCATATCCCCACCAATTATGACTTTACATAGTAAAGTTTCACAGAAGTGGGTAATTGTTTTCAAATGCTACATAGCTCAAGTCAAACAAACATCTCACATACCTTATTCTCCTTAGAAGTTAGCTTCAGTTGCTCCAGTTCCTCTCTGTGTTTCTGCCCCATTTCTGCTTCCAACTTAGCAACATCTTCTATGAGTTGCTTCCTCCTCTTTTTGTCATTTTTGGGAACAGCATTCTTCATACCCTGAATTTTAGCTGAAAAGCCACCCAAATCAAGTTAGACAACCAGGAGTAAGAGAAAATGAGAAACAGGAACAAAAAAGAAATAGTGAGAAAAGTATTTTAAAAAGTAGCTATGGAAGCAAGAACAGTCATTACATTAGAATCACCAGACAGCTATAGAGAAAAATCCAGATAAAGCTAGGACGAAATATGTATCTTTATTCATGTATATATCTCATTAGCAGCCGGAATGCTACTTGGAAGCGAAAATGGCCAGACTTCGTCTCACCTACTTTGGTCATGTGGAGAGAAGGGACCGACCATTCCCTGGAGAAGGATGTCATGCTTGGTAAAGTGGAGTGTCAACGAAAAAGGGGAAAGCCCTCAACGAGATGGTTCGACACAGTGGCTGCAATGATGGGCTCAGATATAGCAGGGTTCGTGAGGCTAGCACAGAACCCGGCAGTGCTTCGCTCTGTTGTGCTATGGGTCGGAGACGACTCCATGGCACCTAACAACATATCTCATTAACGTACCGTGACTTTGAGTTGTTTGGTGGGTCGAGAGGAAAAAAAGTACCTGACTGAAGCAAGTTTTAAATCTTTCACGAGGCATTTCAAAATGCATCCCAAATAAACAAACCTCTTAGGGCCAAACATCTGTAACTGGGACTAGAAACGGCGTTGGAAGCGGAGAGAGGGATGAAGGTCTGGGTCCAAAGCGGTAATCTCGGACGGGGGCGCGAGTAGGGGAGCGCAGTGGGCCTAGAAGAGGGAGCCTCTGAAGGCCTGGGGGTTAAGGAACAACCGGGGCAGGCGGAAGAAAAACCACGTGCTGCTTTGGGAATACCTAGGAAAATCAAGACCAGCCGCCCTTCAAGATTTCCCAGAACCGACCCGCCACGCGCCCGTCCTGGGTCGGGGAAGCTTCTAGGTTCCCACTTCCCCATCACCTTGCAACTCCTTCTTCTCTTTGCGATGCCTTCTCACCAGCAGCTCCTCCTCATCAAGCTCCTCCGTCAAGATTGCCTCCATGGCGACCAGGTAGCCCAGCACACGCGCTGGAAAAAATCTGCACCACCAATTACTAGACACCTTTCACCCCACCCCTCAACCCTCACTCTGGGTACCATTGGCCACAGCTTACACCTAGCCCCGCCTTTAAGGAGGTACCGATCTGAACCGCGCGGTTGGGAATGAGTAGAAAGAAGAACGGGGTACTGCGCATACGCAACACCGTGACCTTACCCTTGCTCTGATGGGGCGGGGTGGCAGGAAAGGAGCGCGACGCCGCGCCACACTGTGGACTCGCCTGGTTGGAGTCTGTAGCCCCGCGATTGCCTACTGGGCTTGAGTCCCTTGAGCAATAAAGCTACACGCCAAGCTATTGGCCCTGAAGTGGGGCGCGCAGAGATGACGTATGAGGAACTTTTTTTTTCTTTAAACATCCATTTGTATTTTTTCCATGCTTTGCAAGAGTTTGTTCAATTTTACTTTTGTATTCCCGTTGCTACGTAGACCTATTGAAAAGGTAAGGAAGGAAAATAAACCATTTTATTAAGAATGCCTATAATTATCAGGTCGTTATAAGTAAATTTTACATCGAGGTCAGTGTTACAAAAATAAAATCAATCAAGCGGCAAATTAAGTTCTGCTTATTGTTTTCAAGGTTGTAATGCCACAGTTCAGAAGAAGGGAACAAAGCTAAGTAATTGAGAAAATATAGCCTCTTGGAATGGATATAATAGTGGAAACCAAGGATATAAGAACCACTGTTTCTTGTAGTATACGAGCTTAAAGAGGATGAACACTGTCAGAGCACACGAAAAATATGGAGAGGAAAGATGTAACTAATAAGATTCTTCAAATTAAAATAATGAGCCTATAGGAAGAGCAAGTTGGATCGGGCATGAAATCTAAAGTAAATGTGAAACGAAAAATTCTCACAAAATGCAGAGAAAAAGGGATAGGAAATCTAGATAAAGATACAGGAAGAAGAGAGACCTGGAAGGCGGATTCAAGATGCAATCTGTGCGTATTGTTGTTGTTGTTGTTGTTATGTGCCGTAGAGTCAAACCCGACTCATAGCGACCCCTCCTTGGGTTTCCGAGGCAGTATCACTACGGAAGTAGGATTGCTCAACCTTCCTTCCGAGGAGTGGCTGGTGGGTTTGAACCGCCAGCCGTCTGGTTAGCAGGCAAGTGTCTTAGCCACTATGCTACCAGAGCTCCCTGTGCGTATTAGGAATACCTAAAACAGAACAAAGCAAACGAAACTACAGCAGTAATTAAGGACCTAAGAAAATTTCCAGAGTTCAAAGAACCAGATCTGCAAATGGAAAAAGCTCATAGGATACCTTTGATGAAAAGAAAGCAAGACATGGAAATATTCTGATGACGTTTTTAAATCTCAATAAATAAAAGGGGAAAAAAAATACATGTATACAGACAAAACAGATTATCTGTAAAGGAGCAGAAATCAGGCTGACCTTACATTTTCCTTTCGAAACACTAAATGTCAGAAGACAATGGAACAATAGCTACAGAGTTTTAAGGGAAAATTATTTTTAATCAGGAGTTAGTACTCTGCCAGCCATGTTATTTCCATACAAAGGAAGACATCTCAGATAAGTGGGAGTTAAGACAGTATGTAGTGACCTTTAAATCTTTGTGAAAGATAACACTGCAGCCAAGAGAGACCATGAATTAAAATTACTGAAGAGAGACAATTGTCTGAAAGAATAAGCATTAAAACTAGGTAAACACCATTAAGACTACCTGTTGCCACTGGAGTTGATTCAGACTCATAGTGACCCCACTACTATGGAGTAGAACTGATCCAAAGGATTTTCGTGGCTGAAACGTTTGCAGAAGCAGGTAACTATGCCTTTTGTCTAAATTATTATATGTAAGATTTAAAACAATGCAAACAGATTTATAAGCTGGATCTAAAATGTCATTTCATATTGTTTTAAGCTGTGAAAGGGGCATGCTAAATGTTCAGTATATGTTGTTGTTAGTCTGACTCATAGCGACTCTGTGTACAACAGAACAAAACAATACCTGGTCCCGCGCCAGCTTCACGTTCCTTGCTATTCCTGAGCCTGTTGTTGCAGTCACTGTGTCAGTCCAGCTCTTTGAGGGCTTTCCCCTTTTTCACTGACCCCCACTTTACCAGCCATGACATCCTTCTCCAGGAATGGTCCCTTCTGACAACATGACCAAAGCAGGTGGGACAAAGTCTGGCCATTCTCGCTTCTGAGGACCATTCCAGCTGCACCTCTTCCAAGATAGTTTTGTTCCCTCCTCTGGCTGTCCATGGTACTTTCAGCATTCTTTGATAATGCCACAACTGAAAAGCTTCAACTCTTCTTTGGTCTGCCTTTTTCATTGTGCAGCTTTCACATGTGTATCAGGCTATTGGAAATGGCATGGTTTGAGTTAGGCACCTTACATACACTTCAAAGAGATATCTTTGCTCTTCAGCAATTTAAACAGGTCTTTTACAGCAGATTTGTCTAGTTAATACATAGTCTGATTTCTTGACTGCTGCTTCTATGGGTGTTGATTATGAAGTGAAGTAAAATGAAATCTTTGACTTCAGTCTTTTCTCCATTTATCATGAAGCTGCTTATTGGTCCAGATATGAAGATTTGCATTTTCTTTATGTTGAGCCATACTTCAGACTGTAGTCTTTAATCTTCACCAGTAAATGCTTCAAATCATCTTCACTTTCAGCAAGCAAGGTTGTGTCTCTGTCTGTTGTTAACCGGTTGTTAATGAGTCTTCCTCCAATCCTAATGCCATGCTCTTCTTCATATAGTCCAGTTTCTCAGATTATTTGTTCAGCATACAGATTGAATAAGTATGGTGAAAGGATACAACCTTAATGTACACCCTTCCTGATTTTAAACCATGCAGTATCCCCTTGTTTTGGTCAAACAACAGCCTCCTGGTCTATATACAGGTTCCTAATGAGCACAATTAAGTGTTCTGGAATTCCCATTCTTCTCAAAGTTATCCATAACTTGTTATGATCCACAAGTCAAATGCTTTTGCATAGTCAATAAAACACAAATAAACATCTTTCTGATATTCTTTGCTTTCAGCCAAGATCCATGTGACATCAGCAATGATAACCATCGTTCCATGAACTCTTCTGAGTCCTACTTGCATTTCTGGAAGTTCCCTGTCAGTATGCTGCTGCAACCATTTTTGGCTTATCTTCAAAATTGTACTGGACGCTTCACTGAAACCTGTCCACCATGGGTGACCCTGCTGGTATTTGAAATACCCATGGCATATCTTCCAGCCTCATAGCAACATGCAAGCCACCACAGTACAACAAACAAACTTGTGGGTTCAGTATATAGGACACATATGTACTGGTTTATTTTTAGTATGAATGCTAGAGGTAAAGATACATAAGTTCTTTAGTTACCATTAGTAAAATAATTGGGCTTTGCCATTATAAATGGGACAGGTAGTATAAAGTGATACTAAATGTTAATTTGACAAAATAAGAAGCCAGTAGATAACAGTTTCATTTCATTTATATTTTCAGTTATATAGCAAAAAATATAGTAAGTTTACCCCTTATGTTAAAACTGATAATTTAATAAGAACTTAATTTCCAAACCACTGTTTGGAGAGAAATAAAACCTTGTTTTACATCCATCTTACTTAGGGGAAAGCAGTATTTATTGCTTCATATATGAGTTCATTGAATTTTACATTGAGGTAAGTATTCCAGACAAAAGTAAAATATATGCATTCTGATTTTTTGAATGAAGGAATCATAGCAAAAGAAAAACAGCAAGAAACCATTAAAATTAGCATAAAATAAACCAACAGGAAACAAATAAGTTATAAGTTGGAAAAAAAAGAAAACCAAACTCACTGCCGTCAAGTCAGTTCCAACTCATAGCGACCCCTTCTTGGGTTTCTGAGATGGTATGTCTACAGAAGTAGATTGCCCAGTCTTCCTTCTGAGGAGTAGCTGGTGGGTTTGAACCACCAGCCTTCTGGTTAGCAGTCAAATGCTTTAGGCACTACACCACCAAAGCTCCTTGTAACACTCAGAAACTTGTTAAATACCTACATTAAAAAGATTCAACTTGGGTCAAAAATCAGTCTGATCCCAGATATTCACGTTAGTATTAAACAAAGGATACAAGAATTCAAAGGTAATGGAAACCATAACCAGAGATGTACAAATTGAAAGCAACACTTTTATTTGACAAAAATGAAGAATTTAATAAGTTATTTTACATTTAGAAAAGATACAGTATGGAATGCAACATTTAAGAGACTTTGTATTAAATAGAACAGGTTTGCTGCTCTGATAGAGCCTGGTGCAATCCCAGAGACTCTGGCCCCTGGCTGCCCTTTTGGTCCAGCCAAAGGAAAAACAGGCACATGAGCTGAATATTTACATTAGGTAGATATATTCCTTAGAAAGATCAATCATGAGAATAGAAGGGCTGTGTATGCAAGGGAGACAGCTCTAGGGGCAGGAGTGCATGGGAGGGAAGGACACAGGGAAGAGGTAACTATGGGGAGGAAGTGGGAGGGGAGCTGTTGCATTGTGGGAAATTGTCAGGAGATAAAGGACCTCTGGTAGCATAGTGCCTGAGGCATTTGACTGCTAACCAGAAGGCTGGCAGTTCAAACCCACCAGCCACTCCTTGGAAGGAAGGTTGAGCAATCTATTTCTGGGGTGATACTACCTCAGAAACCCAAAGAGGGGTCACTATGAGTTGGATTCAACTCGATGGCAGTGAGTTTGTTTTTCTGGTGTTTTTTTTTTATTTTTTTGGTCATGAGACAAAGAGTTTGTGAGCTGCTGTATGGAAAGTGAATTTGCCCTGTAAACTAACCCACATCACAATAAAAATTTTAAAAAAGAGACTTTGTATGGTAAATAATTTGACATTCATATATAAAATATATGTTCCATATCTTGATGTGGGGGTAAAGGACTGCATGCCAGATAAATGTCAGTTTTATACTTTTTCCTCACTATGAAAGAATTACACAAATATAAAGGGAAAAAATGAATGAAGATTTATTTGCCATGGTAAACATTTAAGGACAAACAACAAATTGGCAAATATACCGATACATACTACATA